CCCTACTTGGGTTATAGGATTAACACCTAATCCTAACCCTAATTAACGTGCTAACTACGAATTTAAAGACATTTTCTAAGCTATTACAAAGTCCATAAGTCAAGACTTCTTCCGGCGAGCTTCCGGCGAACTTCCGACGGTCTTCCGATAAACTCTCGGAAACCATTCTGCGGACTCCCGACAAGCTCCTAGACTTCACGATTTGATCTTGGCGAGTTCCGATGAGTTTCTTTGGCAAGCTCCAATCTTTCTCGGTGAGCTCCGCGAACTTCCAACGAACCTTCCGGCGAGCTTCCGAAAAACCCTTCGGCAAGCTCCCTACTCATTCTCGGCTAGTTCCGGCAGCATTCCCGACGAACCTTCGGACTTCCGTCGAACTCTCGAACTCGCAACAAATCCTTCGCGCTTGACTCCGACACTTTGTTTCGCTTTATGTCTTCATCATTATCGTAATTAATCCTGCACACACAAGTAAAAGTTCTACTCCGATCTAGACAATTATTACAACACGAATTGACATTCTGTTGCCTGGCACGTCATTGGTTGGCGCTTCGTCCGATTCTTCAGCGCATCGTCCTCTCTTGCGGCTTGTTGCCCAATCGACGGTTGACCTCCGCAACCCCGATATCCTTGGCGTAATTCCGCTCTCCTTGGCCCGATTCCCGACGTCCGAAGCCTTCTGTCGTCCAATATCCTGACGTGATCTCCTCCGGTGCAACGTCAATTCCTCTTGCGTTAACTGTCTAATCCTGATCGAGTAGACCTGCATCACTCAAAATGCAGTTTAAATTATAAACACATATCAAGTGGTTTTATCATCAAAATACGAGATTCAACACCTATAATTTGTCTAGGCACGCTATCATCGTCGATGCTCCTCATTGCCCTTAGCCTATGCTCCTCGTCCCCCTAGGCCATGCTCACTTGGTCTATACTCTAACCTTACTCGTCGCTCTCTCATGTTGCCACCCAGGAGAAGGAAGAGGAAGGGTATTTATGTTCAAAGAATTATCTTAAAATACTAATAATAATGTTTAAAAGAAAATTATAAACAGTAATCTCCTTAAGTATTTCTTCATGTAAACATAGTACAAAAACTTATGTTAGGATTGTCAAGTAATTTTTTGATCTTAGAACTAGAGTTCGTGGAGGATAAAAAAATTTGAAGTTCGAAAAAACTTCTACGTGAAATAAAAAATTTTGAAAATTAAATATTATTTATAAATATTTTAGAGTTTGATGATGAAAATACGAGAGGTGATATTTCCGATGCTTGAAATTTCTTTGTAGTAGATATAGGGAGAATAAAAATTCGTTTGTAGTAGAAATAGAGAAATAAAAAAAAATTTATTTCGATTTATATGTGAGAAGAGAGTATATGATGAGATTTGAACTTAGGTTTAGGTTAACTTAATGAAACATATAGTTTATTCTCACATGAAGAATAAATAACTTAGAATTTTCTTTTTGGATGTATATAACAGTGTAGAATCAATCAAGTAAATTTTTGTTAATTTAATTATGTTATGACATGTTTGTATTTATATTATTGATTTGAGGTTTATGGTCTTAGTATAAGTGTAGAAGAATACAAGGATAGAGAGAGTGGGGGTTTCATTTGCGATGCATATAATCTCTCGCTTTAGTGGGTCGAACCTTCCCCACTTTGTCGGTGGGTTTCAGGTCCAGCTTTCCAGCCCGAACTGGTGATTGATTGCACCAATCTAAATGTAATTAGGAAATGTGGTCAACGTAGAAAAATGTTTAAAGAAATTTAATATCTTTTCTAAGATAGATAAAAGAGCCCTAAGCTTGGATTTTCTTTCCCTTTATTTTATTTATTTATTTATTTTATTATTATTATTATTATTAATTGCTGCGTCCTACCACTTTAAATTATGAGAGAGACCACGTAATATTAATTAATTAATTAGCACTAATAATACTTTTAGCAATCTTCACTCTCAAGCCGTCTGTATGCACAACATACATGCTTTTATCTAATGTTCTTCTTCTTCTTCTTCTTCTTCTCAATGAATGATGTCAACTTAAGTTAACAACAGATGTCAAAAATACAAGCCATCAGCATAAGAAAGAAAGAATAAAAAGCTCAAGCACTGATTGACGTCTCTGTCAAACGAGCAAACGAACGAGATTTTTTCGTGTGAGACGGCAAGGATGTTTGTCCTGATGCATTCTTTTCTCTGCTTTCATCACCTCACCACTGGGTAGAAACGAGAGGAGAGGAAAGAACGTGTCTCCATCCTCCTCCTCCTCCAGACTTGGATTTCACAAAGGGAAAGAGGTGGTGAGGAGAAAGACACAAAAGAATGAAATGGATTGAACCATTCGAAAGGAAGGAAAGAAAAAAAATAAAAATAAAAGGGAGGTTTGGCATAAACTAAGCTGATGTCCATAAGTCGTCGTCCAAATCTGCATATAAATTAAGCTGATGTTCCTTGTTTCCTTTTTGGCATGGACAAAGAACACCAACCCCATTGTGTTTGGTCTGTGCCATGTCGTCGCTGTCCCTTTATCGGTGCTGGGCCACCGACTTGCCAAAGCAACTCAACTCATATAAAGAAAACACTCCCGACCACCAATCCACGAGAAAAGTTAAGAGTGCAATAGGAGGCTTCAAGAAAGTTCAAACTCTGTGTATTTGAAGCTTAGCCTTTTGATCTGCTGGGGAAGATATACATATATATACTTTTGACACTTAATAGCATTGCTTCTCTCACAACAAGTTAAAAAGGAAAAAAAGTTTTTCTGAAATAATTATATATTATTCCTCATAGTAGTAGTAGTAGTAGTAGTAGTAGTAGTTAGTAGTAGTAGTAGTAGTAGTAGTAGTAGTTAGTAGTAGTAGTAGTAGTAGTAGTAGTAGTAGTAATTAGACACTCATTCGTAACATCATAATTTTTAAATTTTAAAAATATATCAATATTATAAAAGTAAAAATGATTCATCTTATTCTTTCTATTGTCTGTCATCTACTATATCGATCGATGGAAATCACTGCACGTGACGTCAGAATTATCGATTTTATTAATGATAAAATGATCATTTTAGACGTTAATTAAGTGGTAGAAGAAAAGGATAGTTTGGCTCCTGCTTCTCGAGGAGATCATGAGCGGCTGTTCGATTCGAGGATCACATAGCCCGAGAACCCATTAGTGAGGAAGTAGCTCGTGTCGCTTGCTGCCAGCTTAGCTACATGCGGTCGCTCAAGGAGATGCGGACTTCCATAGATGATGTGGTGGAGTAGCTCAAGCTGTTAAGCAAGACGAGTAACTTGTAAGGCTTGGAACGGGCTCTCCGTTAGCAACAACCCACGCTCGATGGTGGACATAGAGACGAAGTTGAACTCTAACGGTACCGATTAACAATTTGAGTTCAAATTCGAGGAGCCAATTGCAACCAGGCATAAAAGAAATGCCCATCCTGGTTCAAGAAGTTGCCTTTGACTGTAAAGGGATGCTGATCCCATTCTTTGTTGAACACACGAAGGGGAAATACAAATTTGTTGGATCTTATGGTTTAATCTAATGGAGAGATGAAAGGGGATCTTCTACTATTTAATTAACCATTAAAATGATCATTTTATCATTCACAAAATCAGTAATTCAATACGCAAGATATATATATATATATATATATATATATATATATTAGTTTTTAAAATCATAAAAAAATTTTAATATAAAAATATAAAAATTCATGAAACTAATTTAGCCCACTCGCCGGTTGTTACGTGTTGATTGAGGATGTGTTGTTTGTGTTGGTTATGGGTGTCTCTTTTGTCTGACATCCATCTCTGCACTAAAGCAGACCAGACATACAGTAGTAGATCGTGGATAAGACCCTTCGGATCGATGGCCACATATCGGAACAAGAGGCAATCCTAAGATTGCGACAACAATCATCAATCAACTCTACCTGCTCTAATATATATCATCGCAGAGAATCATCATTTTAATATGTTCACAAGTCTAGTGAAGATACCAATCGATTTCGATTTAAATACATGTGAATGTATTATTTTTTAAAGAATTTATAATGACTATTTTGTATCCATCTCGATAATGAATTTGAATATTACCATTGGGATGATCTAATTTGATTCACGAACAAGTTAGTTATACAGTCGAGCATGGTGGGTCGATTAAATTGGCATGGTGGGTCTAATCGCAAGTCATTTCGACCCGGTCCATCTATTTTAAAATAATTATTATATTCTTAATTTCGTCTAATTAAATCAGCCAATCGAGAGACGGTAACAACAATCAAACCATTACTACTCCCAAAACAGTGGTTTATATTCTATTAACATTGATTTGGGCTGAGACAGTAATACAATCATACAAGCAGAGGCATTATGGACAGATAAATCCGCCACTGACGTGTTCCGTCGCCATCGGGGGCCACAGAACAGGTCCAGGCTGGCAGTGTTCCATCGGTTTCGCTTGTGCGATCGCAACCTTCCATCTGGCAGATCGAACCAACGTCGTCGAGCATCCGACGGTCTTTACGCCGTTCGACTATATCTTCGTGACCATCTGATCTGTATGTTTTCCGTTAACGAAAGATTCACTGGAATGGCAAAACTGACCCTATGCGTACGGATGGTCCCGAAAGTACATTGGACATATTTCTTAGTATGACTTATATTAAGATTATATATGTAGTCATCATCATTAAATTTTATTTAAAAATTCCGATTTATCATTTCAAATCAAAATTATTAATTATTAATATCTTGCTTCAAATAAACCATTTTTAAATTATTTATAGTAGTTCTAAAAAAATTAAAATTAAATATGTTATTTTGTTGAAATATACATGTATATAATTTTGGGTCCTTTTTATGGTTCGTGCGTCCTTCACGACAAGGAGGTGCAGTGACAAAAAGGAGGTGAGTACAGGGCGTTCCTACTACGGTTCTATCTCCCTCCTCTCCCCCCTCTCCCTTCCACCCACAATCTCTCTCATGTAGAGAGAGAGAGAGAGGGGGCAAGCAAGAAAAAGTTGGCGAATTAGAGTGAGAAGGAAGAACTGGCGACAGTAGAGGGGCTTTTCCGTGGTTCCTTTTGGATTACAAGTGCACACTAGAGTTTAAGGTGGCACAGTCATTTCTCCCAAGGAAACAAAGAGCAGATCTTTCTCTCTTCTCCAACCATTCCGCGAGCCCGCAGCACAGTGCACAGACAAGGATCCATCGGGTGAGCGCCACTGTTGGAATTGACGTGGGATATTTGTTGGGTTCCGTAACGTGTTGCAGTTTCATAGATGAGAGGAGGAGGGATGCTCTTTCCTGTCCGAGACAAGAGGGCTCCTCTGCAGGTGCTGTCGGAAGGAGAAGAAGGCCTCTTTTGGTGTGCTACTCCTCCTCCTCCTGCTTGTGTTGCTAATAAGAGGAAGAAGGGAGCAGCGAGGGAGGAAGGATTGCTGTCGGAGCCGCGGTCAGTCCTGGAAAACCGGTGGAGCCCCAGCCCGCCAAGCTCCGCTTCTTCCACCCTACCCTGTCTTCGTCCCTAGTGGGTGGCGGCGGCAACGGCGAGCCGGCCTCCTCTGACGGCTCCGCCACCGCCATCCCGTCGGCGGCAGCGGCGCTGGAAGAGATCTGCAGGGAGGAAGGGACGGCAGAGCTCCCGCCCACCCCCGCGGCCCTGGCTGCGGGAGGGGACTGCAACTTTGGAGGCGTTGATGTTTGGGAGGCTTTGCTCTCGGAGTCGGCTGCCTCCCTTGGCCAAGACCAGATTTTTCTCCGGTGGAACGTTGGCGAGGTTGACGATACCCCTGCTGCCGGCATTAATGGCACCGGATTCCCGCTCGGAGGCCTCTTCGATCCGGCATTTGCGCTGGAAGGCGCATCGGTTCCGGCGGAGGCCATAAATCCTCCACTGGTTTCCTCTCTTAACTCTGCCGGTCGATTTGAATCCAAAGGTGCCGCCGTCGATTGCGGGAATACAAACCTCAATCCATGCCTCCCTCCTCCGCCGGGGTCCCTCTTCCAAGAATCCATGGAGGAGAGGCCCTTCCCTTTCAGCATGAACAAGCTCTTAGCCCAGCAACAGCAGACCCAACCCCCAAACTGCCCTTCCTTCTTCCTGCCTTTGCACACTTCTGCCGGCAACCGTGAGGATCACCAGCCACAGCACTTCTCCTCTCCTCTGCAGAAACGACCTGCCGTCGTCGACTCCTTCCATGGCTCCCGTACCCCTGGTCTCTTCCTCCGCGGCGACCAGCCCCAGCAGCTGGGCTTCCCTCAGCACCTCAATGCCTCCGCGTTCCAGCTTCAACCGACACCGGCAAAGCCCAAATTAGCTGACGGAAATGAGTCGGACGCTGCAGCGGCAACGATGCACCAGCAGCATCAAGCATTGGTCGATCAGCTTTTCAAGGCGGCGGAGTTGATCGAAGCAGGGAACATCGTCAGCGCCCGTGGGATATTGGCGCGGCTCAATCACCAGCTCCCCTTTCCTGTAGGGAAGCCACTCCTGCGGTCCGTCTTCTACTTCAAGGAGGCCCTTCACCTCGTCGCCGCCAAATCACACCGCTCACCTCCGCCTTCTTCATCCGCTATCTCCACACCATTGGACGTCGTGCTCAAGCTCGGAACTTACAAGACCTTCTCCGACGTCTCACCCATCGTCCAATTCACAAGCTTCACATGCATCCAGGCCCTATTGGAGGCGCTTGGTAGTGCAACTCGCATCTACATCATCGATTTTGACATCGGGATCGGTGTGCAGTGGTCAGCCTTCATGCAGGAGCTTGCCCAGCGTTGGTCCACGGCAATGGCTGCCGTTCCCTACCTCAAAATCACAGCGTTTACGTCGCCCAGCTCCCACCACCCCCTCGAGCTCCATCTCATCCACCAAAACCTGTGCCATTTTGCCAGCAGCCTAAGCATCCCCTTCGAATTCGATGTTCTTAACCTCAACGACTTCGAGCCGTCAAATTTCCTCAGAATGTGTTCTGCTCTCGACGCTGCCGTTGCCGTCAACCTCCGTGTAGGGTCTGCAGCTTGCCCGCCCATCTCGACTCTCCTACGCTTCGTGACGCAGCTCTGCCCCAAGATTGTGGTCTCAGTGGATCATGGATGTGATCGCGTCGACCTACCCTTTGCCCATCACGTCCTCCATGCATTCCAGTCATGCACGGTGCTCCTGGATTCGATTGATGCAGCAGGCACCAATCAGGATGTAGTGAGCAAGATCGAGCGATACTTAGTGCAGCCAAGGATTGAAAATGCTGTGTTGGGCCGCCGCTGGTCGTCAGACAAGACACTACCATGGCGAACTCTCTACGCCTCAGCTGGATTTGTGCCCATGCGCTTTAGCAACTTCACGGAGACACAAGCAGAGTGTCTTCTAAAGAGGGTGTTGGCAAGGGGCTTCCATGTGGAGAAGCGCCAAACATCCCTTTCCCTCTGTTGGCAGCGCAGGGAACTCGTATCAGTGTCGGCTTGGAAGTGCTAAAGGAGCTACTTGCCAATGCTTGCGCTGCATCCATGCTCCATGGTCTTTTGTTGGATAGTTCCTTTGGACCAAGGCATGGACAAACTGAAGGTCTGGTACAGTTCCAACTTTTATAGCCATCTTATCTTTATGGACAATGATGGAAAATGTGATGATAGCAGGTAGCTCGGTGTTTCTTCTTCAGCTGTCGTCGTCCCTTCATATCCTGAAACTCTATCACAGAATGGAATGTGAATGTGTCAAGAATTATTCTTGAGCTGGATGTGAATGTGTGGTCCTGATGGTGTAAAAATTGCAAGTATGTCTCCAAGTAATTGAATTTGTTGGTAGTTAAAGAAATCTTCTGAATCAATCAATCAATCATCATCATCTCTGCAATGCACTGAAAACATCAACTCACAGTCATGCATGCATCTCTATGAATGCAGACCCTTAATGATCGACATGTGAGAGTCTTTGTTGGTGATGGCTTTGTTACTAATCGTTGAATGTCTTCTTCCACCCGCATCACACTGTTCATCTGTTTGGCCACCTAGCAAGAAGCTGGTTGAGTTCCACGCATGTTCATCAAACTGCAGAGCATTCAATTTAAAGCACAGTATATATGGATGGTTAAGGGATGCCTGGGGCAAACAACTGCAGATAATTGAGGGATTTATATCATTTGGAAGACAGTAGTACCTCACGACCATCATCCTTGAGAACATGCATGTACGTCCATTGTCCATCAAGAACAAATATTATGTACATGCTTTGCATGTCAAAAGATTACACAAGTAATACAATGTTATTTCCCAGTGTTCCTGTTATCTTCTTAAAAGAACAGCCTTTTCTACAACCCAAAACAAGTCCTCATGTTCCATAGGATGATTACTGATCACTGTGAGCACTTTTCCCAAGTCTTACCTAGCCTTTTACAGAACTTCTATGAATCCCTCCACCGATAGGATGGTTGGAAGAGTCGAGATTAGCTGGGGAAAACATCACATTCAAAAGCTTCAGTAGAGAACCTTGGCAACCATTCAGCAAATTTATGTCTCATGTAATTGTTAAAACATATGACCAAACATTTCAGATATCACAAACCTATGTATTCGTTGTCAAAAGAGAATATTCAGGTAAGATGACTAGCTCAGAATCCGAACAGAACTGAATTGTGTTGGCAAAGATCTGAGAGGACCAAATGCATGAGACTCATTATTCAGTTCATTCTAGAATTACAATTCTAAATATCACATTACACTTAATGGCTCGTGTTTTGATCTCCTAGTCCTTGGCAGTACACAATACAGTTTTAAGTATTTGTTTCGTCAAATCAAACAAAAGAATGTACCATTGGACATCTACAAGCAATTTACAAATAATACGGTCATGAACCTGTAGGAGCTTAAACACTAAAAGCCATGTATCTTGACTATTTTGTTCTATGGACACAAAATGCATGCATTTCCTAGTGCACATGTTCCACTGGACTACTAACTTCTCAAATCAAACATGAGTTCACCCTCGATCTGGCACATGACAAAGTTTACCCTAATGAAATTGCATGCAATAACACAAAAGCAGCTTTACGGTAAAAGCTCCGGCAGCAGTAAGACCTAACTGCTAGAACCAATGTCAATGTGGCTTTATGAACAAAGCTTATGTAAGAGAAAACAAGCTACCATTTCTATAAAAAGAAATCCTTCATGACACCCGTTCACGGATTAGTTAATTGCTGTTGTAAGGTATTGGATAAGAAAGACTAGCCATGTTAATTATTAACCACACATCACCTTTGTAACAAGCTAGGATGTTTTCCAAGTTACATAGCCATGTGATAAGCTGCCATGGACACAATATTCTGTAAAAGCTCGCTGTAGTCTTAAAGAGAGCTTTTTGGGCTAATGCTTGTAGAAACACCATAGAACAAGATATGCTGTGGCAGAGGAGTTACACCTAAGCATGAAGAATTCAGAAGCATACCAGCAGTGCCATTGTCATCCAACAAAAGCTGTGGCAGGCGCTCAAAAAATATGTGGATTGACACCTTCAAAAATGCGAGAACCAACAACCCCGTAATCTCAGATTCCATGATCAATACTCAGCTCTGTCAGGGGTGGTATGTTCTCCATAGCAAAGAGCATCAGGTGCGGATACAACTCATTGTGGTGATCATAGAGCACAAACTGCACAAACAGGTTTGGGCAAAAGCTATGGCTGATATAGCATGCGACGTTCCTCGACCTTGACAGATCCATCATGAAGCTCAACCGACGCAGGGGAGGGAAGTCAGGAGGCCTGTGATCTGGAAACACATCAGAGACATCCCCCCACTCCCACCATCTCGCTGGGAATTGATTGGACCGGAGCAAACAACTGCCACCCAGTGGAATCACCTCATTTGGAAGCACAACTCCACTGAATTCGCAGACAAAGGATCCAGCACGAATCAAATCCAATGACCTCACCCCCCACCCCATCTCCCTTGAACGGAAAACCTCCAACCGATGTCTGATTCCCCTCTGGCTCACTCTGTTCGGGCAACTCTGAGGACATCGACACCATGAGCCACACTCATAGATTAGTGGCTTTCCTCTAAGCAGAATCCCATTTGCATCATAAGCAAATTGTCCCCCATTCTTCTTTGCGCAATGGCAGTTTGACGAACAAATCGAGGTGCAGCTGCACCCCCAGCTTCCGATGGCATTGTCCCGGTCAAGAACATGGGAGGATATTGGGGCCTGACGAGGTACCCAAAGGATAAAGGTTCGCAGCAATCATCGATGTCATTGAACAGAGGAATGGTGGTGACCTTCTCCTCGCCACGGGAGATGTCCCAACTGAGGTATCCTTTGGGCTGCTTCGGTAAAGGACAGGCCTTCAGCGACTCTGCGAACTTGAGCATTGAGCTGCCCATGGGTTTCTGGCCCTCAACCCTGCGAAGGCAGAATTTGTAGGCGGTGAAGCCAGATTTGGTGGTCTCGCGCCAGTGTTCGTGCACCTTGTAGAGGCCGTCGTAGACGTAGACCTTACCGGAGGGACTGCCTTCGTATGTGAGGCCACGGATGACACGAATTTCGATACCGTACTGCTCGTTGTACTCGAGGGCGAGGTTGCCAGCGGTGAGTTGCTGGTCTGCCGAGAGGTGGGGGCGGTTGCGGGCCTTGCCGCCTTGGCCGGTGTAGATGAGCTCGTCGCCGTGGTCCTCGTCATCCTCGTATCCGCCGGAGACGACAATGCTGGTGGCGATGGGCTCACCAGAGGACGACCGGATGGCAGGTATGAAGTCAATGCCGCCCTGGCAGAGGCCGTGGAGGCCGACGACCTGGAGCTCGGAGCGGTAGAAGAAGACGTCACCGATCAGGGACCCGGGAAGGGGGCCCACAATGCGGCGGTCGCGATGGAGCCAGAGACCGCGGTCACACATGACCTCCGCCGCCTTGAGGTCGGGGCGCCGAAACTCCCCGCTACGGAGGAAGAGGGCAAGGAGCGTTTGGAAGGTGATGCGGGCGCGGCGGGCGAGGAGGCGGCAGCCGAGCCGGTCCTCGCTGCTCTTGCAGGTGGCGCGCACCATCTCGGCGGACCGGGGCGGCCGCTTCTTGGCGGCGGCCACCAAGCCGACCGTCAGTTCCCCACCTCCTTGAACCACCCGCGTCATCGCCGACGCCGGGGGCGCCCGCCGCTCGGCTGCAAGGATGACGCCGTCCAGGTCGGCCATCGACTTCTTGGCACGTCCTCCGGAGGAGACAGCGGAGCCGCCGGAGGAGGATGAAGCGGCGGCGGCGGCGGCAGGTTTGAGGAAGCAGCGGGCTTTCTTGGAGAGGGGGAAGCGGGGGTCGCGAAATGTGCGACGGCGGACCCGGCGTTGGTACACGCAGGAGGTGGTGGGGGGGAAGGAAGGGGTTTTAGGGCTAGGATTAGGGTTTGGGTAAGGACAGGAAAATGCTCCATGCGAGGAAAGAAGGGCTTCTTCATCTTCGTCCTCTTCCTCTTTCACGTGTTCTTGCTTCTTTACGGGCGGTGGCGATGGAGGTTTGGCCATGGAAATTAAGAGAAATAGCTCCGATTATTTGATTTCCAATTTGAGGTGATTTCTAAATGCTGCGGAACAGCACCGAGAGAGACCGGTATAGTACCGGAGAGGAAAGAGGAACGAAAGCGTTTTGTACGAATGCAACGCTACACAATACGATGTATCGGAAGGAATAGCGAACGTCAACCGCATCCAATCCCGTGGGAGAAGTGCACACGCTCGGATGGCGGCTGCTCCTGCCGCTGCTGCTGCTGAGGTTTTACGACGGCCACTCTGTCTTGACGGTTTTCACGTGTTAAAAAAGCATCGGGTATATATATATATATCTTATATCTTACGGTAATGTTTAACGCAAAGATTAAACATTAAAATAATAATTTTTTTTGCTTCTCATATTCACATTAGAATTAAATGATGAGTCTAACATAAACTAATTAGAATCAATATAAATTAGAACAAATATAAATATAATCAAAATTATTGGCATCATACGGGGAGCCTCGAATTGTACAATACGAACATCCCCATAGAGTAAGAATAGAAGAAATGTACAATACAATAAATACATAGCATAAGTTCAATTTATTATTATTTAATATTTAATTTTTTTTAATATAAAAAATAATGTAACATAATTTTTTATGCTTACATATTAATTATCATTTACATCGACGTCAAACATAAAAAAAATATGTTGTGTTCCATGAAAAGGCATTATGGGTTCTCGAAAATTTACTGTGTTTTGCTATATTTATATTTATTGGCGGTGGATATCCATGACTAACACACACTACACTGTTTATGTTTATGTTTATGATAGGATAGGATACCCAGAGAGAGTAGTGAGTCGTCACATAATGCTGCGGACCCCAAGACATGAATGCCGCCCACGGAACAGCAAGGCTGATGGATGATCTGTTACTGCTCCATCCAGCTTCTCACTGCCTTGGGAACGCTTCCATATTGTGCACGGTGAGCTTCTGATTGCAACCATTAGGCTGGTCACGGGCGTTGGCTGCCCCTCCGACAACTGTGAGATTCCTCTCTCTTCTTTCTTTCTTTCTTTCTCTCTCTGACAACACCAGCTACTGTTTGATCTTGAGGATACCTTTCCTTCTTTCTTTCTCTCTGACAACATTAGCTAATGTTGGATCTTGAGGATAACTTGTGTGTCTCTCTCTCTCTCGCTCTTCCTTAAGATTAGCTACTGTTGTTGGATCGTGAGGATAACTTGTGTCGTCGTCGGCTGTGCTTGGGTCCAACGGCACCCACAGGCGCTTCTCCATTGCAGGTATCATCCACCTTTTCAGTTTGAAGTTGAGGTCTTTTGCGTCCCTGCGTCGTCATTCATGTCCTTTCTGTCATTTCCGGGCTCACCGTAGGCATAGCATGGCAATGGCAACTCGGCCCGGACCTGTTTGTTGTCGTCCGTGCTTCGTTGCAGGCAGGACTGGTTATAATTTTCTTTTTGAGTGATGACCGATCATAATTTTCTTAATACTTGGATTTTTATTGTTACTCTCAACAAGATGTTGGTTATATGATCTTTTTAAAATTGTCGAAATCTTGTTCTTGTATCAAAGATATAAAAGAAGAAGAAAAAATTGATTCGATGGATGATTCTTGACGTCTCAAAAACAAGTCCAACACTCAAGTTCAATAATAAAAAGATTAAGCACTTACAAAAGATAGATAATTTTAATTTTATGTATAATTTTAAATTTTTTAAAATTGATCATCGACCAAGAAATTTATAAAATTACCTCCCTAAATTTGCCTACATCTTCATCTTCTTAATTATCTTCTCCAAATAAGATTATATAATATTTATGTTTTGATATTATTTTTTTTTGTAAAGTGATATGAAGATGGACCACTTTTGATGTATCCAACTATCAAGGCATGAGAGAGTCATTGTTCGATGATAATTTTGAAAGGACTCTTGTTCATCCTATGGGTGTGCTACGAATTATAAAAGAATTAACTATATTTAAAAAGTTTTGTTTGATATGATTAATTAGTGCTCAATAAATATTTCTACAAAAGGTAAGCTTATTAATTCGGGTAAAAGCTTGTGAGAGTTATATTTTCTAGGTTATTATAGCTTGGAAAAAATATAACTTGGAGTTAGAATGATTCAAAAACAGCCAAAAATTATGCATCTAAGTTATTATAATTTTCTAATACTTCAACACATTCTTCATCATCAACCTCCTCGTCTCTTTCGTGGAATAATATACGAACACAACAAATTATATATTTTGAGAATCGATCAAATAAGTTTGACATAAAAAGTATAGGGAGAGATATTTTCTGTCGAATTCATCAGACGAAATATGGAACCGTTGACCTACCATTGTCCGATGCCTAGTTATAATGAATCGTAAGTGCAATGCGCTGCTCTACTCGCGTTGAGTAATAGGATTCGCAGTCTAAAAGCTACTCTCCCCGTGCACCGGATCTGACTGAAACCAAAATTTCCAATGCCTACTCCGTTAAGAGGTCGTCAAGTCAGCATGCTCCATCAAATCGACCACATAATCCATTCTAAGCCGGACGGGAAGCACCGGAAAAGAAAGTAGCCTCCTCACCCACAGCGGTGCCGGCTTTTATCCTTTTGCGGCGTCATACTGCAAGATTACAGAATCCAACTTGGCCAGCCGATACGACCTGACGCGCGCTGCGGTATTCGACGCCTCACCCGCCCCAATCAACCACAAACTCACTGCATCTTTCTCATTGTTTTCATGACACACAAAAGAAAAAAGGCCTTAAATTATTAACGGTGAAACGATGGAGCGTAACGAGACGCAACCACATGGGTGCAGTGGGGAAAGAAGATGGGTCAAGATTCTGATGAATTCATCATGATGGCACAAGAAACATATACATCTTCATCAACGAATAAACATCAACCACCAAACCACAACTTGGGGGGGTAATTTAGTATTTGTCAGGGCTGCGATACCCACCACCAGAGGCGTCGCAGTGCCAATAATGACAACCCTGAACATCATGTGTCACTAAAAGGAATAAAATCGACAAGAGAAAGAACCTTTAGCTCCATCACTGATCAAATAATACTGCCAATGCTTCTTCAATCAATTCATCTAACACCTTCCCACCCATCTCCTTGCTGAATTCACACAGCTCCGACCACCTAGATTCAGTCCATTGCCTTCCCCCCACCTCTTTCATCACCAACCCATCTACCATCCTACTGCTGCTGCTGCTGCTGGTGGATTCATTCGGTACACATTTCTCGCCCGACAACCAGTTTCTTATGATTGCCCATACTTCATCGGCCGCTGAAGTGCCCACCGTATCATCCTTTGGTGGCCCACAGCACGGTTTGGTCCATGGATACGCAGCAAATAATGCAGACTGACTAATGTCTAAGAGTGCTGCATTCACAGCGTCGAATAGGAGCCTGCGGCTTGTTTGCCTCTTCCCGTGCTTCCCTTCCTCGTCATCCGTGTGCCAAGAATCATAAAGCAATGAAGGGTTTAAAGGACTATCGAGCGAATGCCATCCACTGAACTTCATGCTCTTATTTTTCTTCATTTGAGCAGATGATATCAGCTTGTGGACAAAGACGAACTGCTCATGTTCTTCGTCCACCTTGGAGATGATCATAGAAGACCTTAAGGGTTTTGTTGATCTTATGTCCAAATAGGAGTCACCCCTTGACAGGGAACGAGCAACTGATTCGATCGGTGGAGATCTAAATAGTGCTTCTGAAGACAGGTAAAAGACATGATAGTCACTTTAAGGAACACATTATATCAGTGGAAAGAGGTAGATGAGACTTACGTGGACGTCCTGCAATGATACTTCTAGATGACAGAGACAAACCATAATCGACATCATCCACTGATTTTGCTTCTGAAACTGAAATTGGGCAGGACCGATCCTGGTTCTGCATGATGTTCCCTGATATCCCAGGTTTCTCGAGGCTAAGGGCACCCTGCAGATTATGTGCACAGCAATTTTCAGAGTGAAAAAAAACAAGATCTAACAATTTAAAAGGACTAATATAGTCAGCAGAGTGCAGCCAGAATGTCCAAGGAGCACCATGATCTGGTCATCTCTATTAATCCCCAGAGTGTGAGCAATATAAAAATGTATATAGTTAAATGGATCAGGAAGAAAACAGAATGTGGGACATGAGACAAGTTAACAAAACAAGAAAAGGTTTACTAAACAATCTAGTGAAGGCTCAACAAAAGAAGAAGGAAAAATTGGAGGGAGATGTGTCACCTCAGTAGGCCATGTCTTCTCAGTTGCTCCATCACAAATTTTATCAAGACTAAATAGAGAGGTCTGTGCCGTGAGAGTATTATTAATGGATTGTGATAAATCATAACTAATTGTACCATTGTTGCCAGAACTGCCAGATTGTACTCTATCGTCACATACCAAGGGAAATCTGGAGGGCTTTTCTTCACTTGGTTTTTTGCCTCTAGAGAAGAAAAAACTAGAAATCTTATCCTTGAAAGATGACTTCCTGCTGTTTGACTTGGGAACCTCCATCTGAAGAACGGGTTTGCCAATCAAGGAACGGGAGATCCCCACATTCAACTCATCAACTTCACAAGCTGATGAAGAAAGTGGGATGGAATTTGATCTTGACAAGTTCCTATGGGAATTCTCTCCAGTATGTTCATCCTTCGTCGCAAATGTAGACAAGAATGATGAGAGCACTGGGCCTCCATTGCATGACTTGCCATCAGAATGAATAAGCTCCTCTTTGGTTCCTTCTTCTTTCTTTAATTCGGGAATGGCAAGCATCTCACCTAAGGTGCTTGAAGTCCTCTGCAATTGGATTTGCTCTTGACCATTTTCGTTTGATGCTACTAATGCCCATCTCTCTGAAAGTCGTTTCTTAGCTTCTTTAATAACTGATGATTCAGGAGAATGGGACACTCGAGTCAAGGATGAGGCTGAGAAAGGACTACCGATTATGTTGGCATAAGCCCAAGAATACTCCGTTGCTGTAGTTGCAATCTCAGAGTCACTTGTACTGCCATCGTCATTTTCCATACACTCACGTCCTGACCTATTGAGCGAGCTTTCATCCCCAATATATCCATTTAATAGTACTGAGGATAACAAGGCTTCATCGTTGTTGCTGCTCAGGCTCTCTTGCAGCTGACGAGTGATTTCCTTGGCTACTTCTCTTGAACCTACCAGTTCATCAGTTGTCAGAGTTCCATTAGAAACTCGCCTGCCCAGCAACATTGGCAAATTGTTTGGGAGTGTGGTCGTTATGGTGTCAGGTTTCCCAGGGCTAGGCTTTAAAACAACTATTCTCGTTGCTTGAGATATACTCTGAATTCTTGGCTTAGAGAAACCAGAGCTCCAATAATGCTTATCAGCTTTGTATACATGTTCAGCAGAATCTATAAACGGTTGTCTTCTGATGATTTTGTCACCTTTTGTCTCCATGGTACTCGAAGGTTTTAGCACAGTTATACACGTTTTCGCAGGACGTAGAGGGACGCTCTGGAGCTCAAAGAGATGATTTGTGAAGAACGAGTTTGGTTCTTCCAGAAATTTAATAAATAAATCTCTGTTTGAATTCAGAACCTCAACTGCATCTTGGAACTCCTTTGAATCAAGAAGCTTTTCATCAGTAGCCAGGCGTTTTGCTTCAGTAAACTTTTGCCGAACAAGGGCCATTCTCATTTGATATGATTTCTCTTCATATCTGACCTTTGGTGGAGATTGATCTTTAACCCTGACATTCTCTGATGGTTGTTGCTGCACTTCATATACATCCCTATAATCTTTATTTTCATGGGTGAAAAATTGACCCTCACATGCACTTGATTCATCAAGATAGTCACCTTCCTGCTGTCGATAATGTCGAAGTTCTCCTGTTAAACTATTGTCACTGTTTTTTATATCGGTTTTGACTGATTGCTGCACTGGTAAGGAATCAAGCCCCATTAGTCTCGCAACAACACTTGGTGGGTTCTGTATAGACTCTGTATCATCCCACATCTCTTGTGAAATAAGCGACTTAATCGGTGTTCGACCTGATTTCTTGTTCGGGGAACTGCTCCTTTGTTCGTTTACCATCTGTAGCAAGACCAAGGATTTGTATAAATAGTTGGGTTTGTCTAAATGGATTTCTTGACAGTAGGGAAAAAAAGAAAGTCCAGAGTGATACTTGTTTGCCCTCTGTCTTGGCTACTGCAGGATATGTTGGCTTCTTTACCACATCAGAACAATTCCTAACAACTGCAGAAACCAACAAATGAATTTACTCCATATTAATAGCAGCTGGAGAATGGAATCATACTAGATCAGCATATTCATTTTTGGAAAACATGAACAGAAAGCCACAGAATGGATGTCCACAAAGAAAATACATTGAAGATAAAAGGATGAACGAAATACAAGTGATACGATCGACTGAAAAACAATCATAAAAAGAAAATTATTTAGAAAATAAAAAAGGGCAATAAAAGCAGGATATAACCTGAAAAATTGATGTGCACAAAGAAAATAGATCAAAGATAAACGGATGAACAAAATATAAGTGATGAAATCAGCTGATAAACAATCAATCATAAAAAGGAAATGATTTAGAAAAATAAAAAACCACAATAAAAGCAGGATATAACCTGAAAAATTCTAGAACACCAACGGTTGAATAGAAGTGAAGCATTCGAGCTTATGCAGGTTGCAAGAAATAGGCATTCTCTCCCATGAAAGAACTGAACAAGCTAGAAAAGAATCCACAGTTCAGTATGATGAAGTAAGAGAAGTACCATCACTATGTGGTCTCTCAGTGAGCAGTTTGGTTTTGGCCATGCCGGCACTCAAGTCAAATAAGCTCATCATCCTTCCCATACATCCTGGAAAAGAATCCGCCAGCTCCATCCCCTTGCTACCACTGGAAACTGTTCATCGAGTTGCCTGAGAAGGAAACAAAGACGAACACCAGTGTCGTCAACTATCCTCATCATAGAGATAAAAGCTAAGATCTAAGATCACTCACCAGGGCCACAGAGAACAACATCGTCACTGGTACAAAACAGAAAAGTAGCTTATGGCACCCCGTCCAGGCTAAGAGAAGGAAATAAGAATTAGGATAAATGGGAAGACTAGACGATAGCAGCAGGCGTTTAACGCAATGCAGCAGAACAAAGCCAAGGTTTTGCATTTACGATCGATGATATATCATTAAAGCACGAGGAAAAAAACCCCCAAATTTTAACGCGAAAAATGGGCATGTAACCAGATCTCTCAAAAATAGTCTCCGGAGGAAAATGACCTTCAACAAAATGCAAACACCGGGAGCAGATTAGCCAGAGATGCCAAGCTCAAGCTGTAGCACAAGAAAGAATCAAACATGATGCAAAAAGTAGGAAGCAGAATGGCGAGATAAATAGCATAATATGAACCAAAAATAAAACAGGGTGGAAAGAAAGAAAGAAATTTCACAGCAAAAGGCTGCAATGTCTGGAAAAGATCGACTTCAAAGCCTAAAAGGCTCCAATCTTTTCACGAAACATAAACCTATTTAAGTTCAAGGCAAAGAAAAATGAGCACTTTTCTCCTCAACGTAAGCAAATGATGTTACAAAGGCACTTCAATCGATCAACCAAATCATTAAGGAAAATCAGTGACACAATAGGCACCAGAAGATTCACAAGAAGCTCCAACATTGAGCCAATGAAACCAAATCCAGCGCGCCGCAGAGAGCTGCATTCCACCGCTGGCCGCGATCTGCCGAACTCCAGGATTCGAGATCGGAGTCCGAGAGGGACGGGAGAGCGAAAGACGCAGTACCGAGAACCATAGTGGAATCGAAGACGAGAAACAACGAAAGAAAGATTGGGAACAAGGCAAAGAAACGCTATAGGGTGTTGGAGGCTCAGGACCGACCATACTACGCTCCTCCTCCTCCTCCTCCTCCTACAGCGCTAGCCCAACCCGCTTCCTCCGACGCCCGCCGTCGGACGCTGCGTTCGCAGGAGTTTGCTTGCACGCTGTTGGCAGCCTCACTCAACCACTGCGGGGAGAGAGAGGGGAGTGAGGAGAAGAGGGAGAGGGAGAGGACATGGATGGAAAGGAAGATTAATTGGGTTTAGTTTTATACAGTGGGTATGGA